ATATTGTGATTTTCACCAGGATCACGGCCATACTACAGAGCAGTGTAACAGCTTAAAGTCCGAACTAGAAAGTTTAGCTCAGAAGGGAATGCTGAATGAGTATGTTCAGAGAGCCGAACAACCGAGGTTTGTCAGAGAGCAGAGGCCGCAGCCTTAAGGAGCCCGCAATCCCCCAAATAGGCAAGGTGTGGGATATCAACAAACCTCACCTCCACTCCCACCACCAGCTAGAATCATACATATGATTACAGGAGGCCTCGAAGCAGGTGGACTGAGCTCTAAGCAGCGAAAGCTGTATGTTAGGGAGGTTAAACATCAAAACCGAGCTCAGAAGAGGAAGATCGACGATGCTGAATGGAAGAATCAACCAATTACTTTCACATCTGCTGATCTCGATACAGTTGTTACATCCCACAATGATCCTTTGGTCACTTCTGTCATGATCAACAACTGTGAAGTACAGCGTGTCCTTGTTGACACCGGGAGTGCACCAGACATCATGTACTTCCACTGTTTCGAGAGTCTGGGGCTAGATCCAGCATTGTTGCAGAAGTATGATGGTCCTATCTATGGTTTCAACAACCAACTTGTTCCGGTAGAATGAGTTCTTACCCTCCATGTGGCTTTTGGGAGTGGTCGGACCTATGTAGCCCCTTCAGTCCGGTTCCTTGTCGTCAAGATGGCCTCTTCTTTCAACATTGTTATTGACCAAAATCCGAGCTGTAGTTTCTCAATCTCACCTCTGCATGAAATTCCCTACTCCTATGGGAATAGCAACACTACGAGGAAATCAGGAGGTGGCCAGACATTGTTATATCACCTCGGTAACACAACCCATGAAGGGCAAAGCTCAGACACCCGAAGCCATTCCCCAGCAAATTTCTAATAATCAGCAAGTTATGGGTGTTGAGATTGTAGATAATCGACCGGAAGATGAAACCAGAGCTGCTCCGGTCGAAGATGTTGAAGAAGTGCTCGTTGATGACAGAGATCCGAGCCGAAAAACGCAGATCGGAACTAGATTGAACCTGGAGGAGAGAGAAGAACTGATAGCTTTTCTCTGAGCTAACAATGATGTATTTGCATGGACTTCGGTAGATATGCCAGGAATTCCAACTTCAGTATGTCAACATAAGCTCAGTACCAACCCATTGAAGAAACCAGTGGCCCAGAAGCGGCGTCTCTTCGGGGGAGAGAGGCTTCAGGCTATCAAAGAAGAGGTAGAGAAACTCCTACAAGCTGGTTTTTTCCGGAAAGTGGATTACTGCGAATGGGTGGCTAACCCAGTCCTGGTGAAGAAGGCAAATGGTAAATGGCAAACGTGCATTGATTACACAAATCTTAACCACGCCTGCCCTAAGGATTGCTATCCGATGCCAAGCATTGACAAATTAGTTGAAGCGGCTTCAGGCAATGAGAGGTTAAGCCTCTTGGATGCATATTCTGGGTATCACCAGGTACCAATGGCTCCTGAAGACGAAGAGAAGACCTCATTCTATGCTGGCGATGAAATTTATTGCTATGTTATGATGCCGTTCGGCTTAAAGAATGCAGGTGCCACTTATCAGAAAATGGTAACCATAGTCTTCCGAGCTCAGATCGGCAAGAATCTGGAGGTGTATGTGGATGAAATCATAGTAAAGAGTCTGAAGGCAGAAAACCACCTAGCCGACCTTGATGAAACCTTTAACAACCTCAGAAAGAACCGGATGCGGTTAAACCCAGCCAAGTGTATCTTCGGAATGGAGTCTGGAAAGTTTCTAGGTTTCATGGTGTCCCGAAGAGGGATTGAGGTCAATCCAGAGAAGATCAGAGCAATTGCCGAGATGGAAC